GAAATCTAATGACACTTAGCCAAGATTTTTGTTCTGCAGAACCAAATCTAGGTCATAACATTTTCACGTGTTCAGAATGRATGAAGAAAATTGCTGAGCAGTCGTGTTCGACTTTGTCATGCCTATTCAGGAATCACCATCGAAGAAGTGATCAAGAAAACTTTTTTATAAAATAYCAAAAGATAAATAGTTGTGAAAACTGTGGATGCAGTTGTTTGCAATTGCACAGAAATTCTCTAAATCGATTGTGAACACGAGAAATTGTTGTGACCTAGACAAAGTCTCGCTTTGGTTCTTCAGAAACAACATTTTGGGAAAGGGCCATTTTGCAATGTTTGCAGTTGGTAAATTGAATATATAATTAGCAAAAATTCTTAGATATCAAATACCATGAAATTACCTAWATACACATCGATGAGATACCAGGTTTTCTTTAGTTGTGAAAATGCAATATCTTGAAAAGATATCATATCCTTCACATGTGAAGATATCACTGTTGGCATGGTGACACATTTTTCGAACAATTAGATCAATATGTATACAATACATCGATAGATCAGTATGTATATAATAAATGGAGCATTACATGACCGCTTGGAAATACTAATTTTATCTTCTCGTGTTTAATTGATATCGGTTGCATACTCGAAGATAAAATTAGTTTTTCCGCGCGCCCAGGTAATACCCTCTATATATTTCTAACTATTGATATCTATACTTCACATATTCCTTTGAGAAACAAAGAGTCTCGATGCCTTTTAAAGTGCCATTAGAGAGCTTGAAAATCCAAGCACTCCTTACAAAAAAATATATATATATATTCTCGTGCAAGAGGGGGTTTCATTCATTTCAAGGAATCAGCAGTCATTTGCTTTGTGCATCGGTGCAATATCCTTCTCCATCATGAACAGGAACTCATCTTTACATAATGAAGCGGAGGAAATTCATGAAATATCTAATTATGAGTATAAGTGATGACGATGAAGAGCCTATAATCCAGTTAGTGTTACAAGATCTCCCTGGTTCTGTTTTTCAAAGGTATGCTTCAGATCTTTTGCACAGTATGTTTGTATCGAAAAACAGTTTTTCAATTACTACCTTTTTTGTCAAGAGGAAATTCAGTCAGAAAATGCTTAACTTCGGATGAAACTTTCTAAAGGCTTGGGTTTCTTTGACTTTGCGAACTTTTGAGTTCGAGTTCCTATTTTTTTTCTTGAATTCTTTGTTGAACTAGAAGTACTTGTTGAAGAATATTTTCGCCCACAAGCGTGGAGATATTTCGTCTTTTCAAGTTGTATACACCTAATTGAGGAAACGTTGTCGGGTCCAAAAAGGTCAAATCATGGAAGCTAAGACCGAAAGGGTACTTGGGAAGACGAANGGTATGGGTTTTGTCTGAGATAGGGTATGGGTTTTGTCTGGGATAGGATTACAATTTGGTCGTTTTAGTCTGAACAGGGGGTGGGGGGGGGTTATTGTAACCTTAGAGCAAAAGATTTTGGTATGGAATGTTTATAACGATAATTTTTGAGGATGTCGTTCTGATTCTTGCGAAATAGCCAATACCGTGTTGTATATGTGCGCATTGTTACCACACATCTGATGCTGACGGGATTATTTTAGAGTTTGGACACTTCTGATTATGTACTTTTGGTTTTTGTGAATATAATTCCCTCAGTAGACCTAATCGGCTAAAACGTTGCTATAAACGTTTCCACCCATTTCAAACCACGCGGGAGTAAGCTTCATTGTTCGTTGTATTTTTATTTCACAGTTGTTGTTTTTCTCGCAGGATTTGAATTGGGTGGTAACCGTATCAAAGAATCCCCTATTGTTCGGTGTCTATTTCGAGGTGTCACATATCGAACAATGAACTTTTGTTTTAAGTCATCGAAGTGGTTTTGAATATAAGTCAAGTGCGTAGTTTCGGAAAAACGAGTCCAAGACGACGGACTAGTTTCTACCCGATATGACGAACATATTAAACGTTAGCCGATTAGTTCTATATAAGTGCAAATAAGCTCTATTTATYTAAAGTTGAGGAAGCTCACCATAAAATAGGATTTTTGGTGCCATCATGGATTGTTATTATATATGGAATTTTTGAGTCGAGCCTAGTACGACGTCCACTAAGCGACGTTCTGACATCGCTAGATATATCAACTAAGAATCGTTGCGAAGTTATCTTACAATAGTCTCCTTCACGGTTACCTGCGCAATCTTGAAAGTTAGCTGTGCACGTGCCTTTACATGTAAGCGAGACAACCATTGAGCGTGCAATGATAGATACCTGTGATTAATACACACTTTCATTGTTTTGAAGTATTCCTTATTTTTAATATCTTGGTGTCTTAAAGTCGGGGAGGGTTTTGAATTCAGCAGGGAAGAGTGGGGCTGATGAATTAAACAAAAGAGAGGTCATTATTGCGAGGTCATTATTGCGAGGTCATTATTGCGAGGTCATTATTACTAGGAGGTCGTTATTACTAGGAGGTCGTTATTACTAGGAGGTCGTTATTACTAGGAGGTCGTTATTACTAGGAGGTCGTTATTAGCCGAAATAATGACTTCAAGAATATCTGGGTAGTTTTCATAATACGAAATTTATACAAAGAGAACAGGTGACAACAACAAGAAATAATCTTTAATGAACATTCAATGCACTATGATTAGGCTACGATAAATTATTATTTCAATCAATAAATCATAAATTATATGAAAGTGTAACACTTTGATAATAGTAGGTGGTATAGAGTGATTTTCTTGATCCGTCAAAGCCTTATAGACCCCTTGCAGTTCGTGGGAATGCAGTTCCAACTGGAGGACAAATGAATAGGGATTCTAGTTCCCAAGAGGGCAAAAATCTTTTGTTTTGTCCTCCAGATGAAGCTGCCTTGACGTCACATGCAAGGGGTCTATAGCCGACTTAGGGAAAGAATTCTCTACTATAAGCTTAGTTTTACCTTA